GCAGGGGCCGCAGACCCGGGGCGCGGGGAGGTCGGCAGCGGCGCGGCTCGGTCCCGGAGAACTCCGGACGCGGCAGGGCGACCTGTCACCAGGCGGGCCCTCGCTGTCCTCTGTGCCCCGCGCGGAAAAGGAGAAAGGGGTAGCCTGCGCGTGATGGGCCCCGCGGAGGAGGAGGACGCGGAGCGCGCGGGCGGAGCGGACACCTCGCTGCCAGGTCGGAAAGCTCTCCAGACACCCTTCCAGGAGGGAGCCGCAGTCCGCAGGTCGGGGCTGTGCACGGGGGCTCGCGTGGCGGGGCCCCTCTGCCTTCTAACCCATGCGCACGGGTTGCGCGTGGCTGGGTTGCAAGTCCAGGTTTAGTTGTCAAACTGAGGAGCCGTTTACTAGCCACTCAGACGATAGTAAGGCCCGATCAGCCTGCAAGAGTCTGTGGTGTGAAGTCACCTGACCCTTCGCTCCCCGGTTTTGCTGAATGTAGGCTCCTACTGTACTTGTACAAGAAGCACTCCTGCCCCCTCGAAGACGCGTTTGCGTTGGCAGTGGAGTGTTGTGTGTTCCTTTCACTCATGACACCCCTATTTTTAGGAGTTTAGCATTTGATCTTGCACTGTCGTGTGAATTGAACGCATGAAATCTTGATTGAAAATTTTGATGGTACTTAAAGGCGTAAAGTTTTTCAAAGGCTTACGAATTGTGAAAGCTTACAGTTAGGTAAGTACAGCCATCGCATAGATAACAGTTTACACTAAATACAAATTTGTGTTTTTCAGATTTCTCTCTTTCCACAATCTGATAAAGGTTTTGTGAGATGAAATGTAAAACATTTTGATAAAATATTAGTCATGAAGACTCACTTGAATAGAAAAGTTTATGCGAAATATACTTTATCTTTCATGGTAGCCCTTGGACATGTTGAACATATGTCAGAGGTGATGACAAACTGTAGAGTTTTGCTAAGGGAAGAAGAACAGCAAATAAAGCTTATTTTATTATTGCCTGCCAACCAAAGCACTTGACAGACCTGTTTACATAGAAAAACATATTACCAGAGAAGAGACGTTTTGCCTTAGGCAGACCTCTTCTGGTTGGAATTCTCAAGCAGTTAGTTGTTTTGGAATGCTGATGGATCCATTAATTTAGCTCTTTTGGGCTCTAGGGGTGTGTGCTTATTTATTTATTTATACATATATATGAATATATTTTAAGGTAATCGTTTTAGATTGTGTTTTATGTACTTGCCTTATTAGGAGAAGCATGACTTTATGACTTAGTCATGGTTATGAACATGATTTTTATGCTGTGGTACATTGAGAAGATATGCTGTTCTTAAAATTTGATAAATAGAGCTCACCACTTATTAAGTGCTCTATCTGCTGCTCACAGGTTTTTGTCTTTTTGTTTTTTCCTGAAGTTAGCCCTTCACTTGATAGCCATTTCCTATCTAATGCCTAAAACAGCCCCTCTCCCTGCTAATTTGCTCTGAGTCTCTCATTACTACATTAAAAACCAAACAAACTTAAGATATATGTTTAAAGTAAGAACAAACAGGCTGTGAGTTAGGAGGCACTCATCTGTTTTTGGTTGTGTAGAAACTAGCCTCCCTCTCCTTTCTGGATAAGTCAAGTTGAAGAGCTGAGTTGGGGTGTCAGGTGCCACTCTTAGTCTTAGGAACATGCGTTGTGTCACGTTGAAGAGAAATGCTTACTCTTTTTAGGAATGTAGGATCTTTATAAAGCACTTTTGCACTCTTATATTTTAATGGCTTTGTAGGATGATAAGAATCTGGGGATGTGATTAAATCTATTTAGTAAAGTATTTTCAGATCCTTTGAAATTCTTTGGGGAAGAAGGAGCTGCCTTACAGTAAAGAAGTATTTATTTTAGGGAAAATAAACGATGAGTTATAATGAGATTCTGGCCTTAAATCAAGTGCACGTATTTTGGGATTCATTTTTAGTTTGCTACTGTTTTTTAACTTTACGATAAAGTTTTTGCATAGTCACAAGTGAAAGTAACTTTCTTGAAATTGTTAGACCTTTTCCAAAATTGTGCTTTTTCCATCCGTCTGATTCTAAGCAGCTGCTAAGAGTGCCTGGAAGACTGTCACTAGTTTGATGTTGGAATTCAAGACGTATTTTTAAAATTGTGAGACTTAGTAGCAAGATGCATTTTACAAAATTGTTAATGCTCAATTGGAAGACCTATTTGACACACGCAATTGTAAGCTTCAATTGCAAAGCCGTTTGGCAGGCTCTCAAAGTTAAGAGCCAGAAGTGTAAGGGATGGGAATTGAAGTTCAACTTTTTTGTAATGGTGATTTACACCTTTACCGAAGGAGGTTTTCTTCGGAGTGGGTGCAGGGAAACAGCTTTCTTTTTTTTTCTTTTTTAAAAGTAGAATGGCATTCTGATTGTGTAGCCATTTTGGGGTTTCAGAGTCCAGGTATGTTATTTATTTTCTTGGGCATTATTTAACTTAAGAAAGATAGACGTGAATGTAGAATAACTGAACTTGATCCTCTGGTGAATTCATTACTCACGTTAGTTTCTTTCTGTCTCTTACTCTCCCTCACCACCCATAATACAGAAGAATGGTTGAGGGTTTCCTCTGTAGCTTTAAAAATGGATAGCCAGAAAAAACACCAACTTGAAAATATGATGGCAATAGGGTAATCCTTGACACTTTATAAAGCACTTTAAACATCTTGCTTTGATTTTATTTCTTAAAACCTTCCTGTGAGGGAATTAAGTTATTCCCCTTGGAGGGAGTGATTGTGACTTGTCTAGAGTTACAGAAACTACAGAGAGGCACTCTTACTGCTCATCACCAGACTTGGAGGAGGAGGAGGGTAGGGGCTTTTCTTCATTGAAAATTGTCACATGTAATTAGAGATGACTGGGTAAAACTTTGTTGAATGAATGAAGTCTGAAATCATACTAATGAAAAGATGGGCCAGTTAGAAAGTAAAGGTAGGGCAAGTCACTATGTGGAGTGGGAAATTTTAAAGTAGTAAGGGAGGAGGTAGATATAGTAGAAAGAAGTAGGAGAATTGATGAAGTAGAACAATTTTGCTTGTTATGGACATTGAGAAGCACAAAGTGTTCATAAGTTCAAAGCCAAGATAACTATTTTACAGATGATTTTTCACATTATTGGTAAACATATCTCTGTGTTTGGTTGTATATATATTTGCTAAACTTGGGTCGATTTTTATAAAAATGTGTGTGTTTGTGTCGCCACCCTCACTACCTACTCTGGGGCAAACAGCTATAAGGTAGTTGGTTTTATGGACAGATGATACCTATTAGAAACAACTGTTAAGCCGTGAAAGACTAATTTATGCATCCTCTGTTTTCCCGAGGAGATAGTAGGCACTTATCACTGACTGGGTTTAGTCTTCTGGCCAGTACAAGAGAATCTAGGGGATTCCTTTGCTAAGTACTAGCTTAATAAAAATTATTCATACAACTTATATTTCTATGATTGGCATCAAAATAACCAGTAACTCTAATAACTTATTGGTGAAATATATAACTGATGAAAGATGCTTATCTAGGCTCTCTAGTATATTTCATTATTTTTATTGTGGGGGCAATGTTTCTTTTATCTTAGAGAAGCAAGGTAGTATAGTGGAAAAAGAACGAAGAATCAAAAGCTAGGTGACTTCGCTTAAACTCTCTGAGCCTGAAGCCCCTCACATACGGTAGTGATAATAATCCCATAACAGGGCTGTTGTGGGAAACATGATAGGGTACAAACGTTTTGTAGATTGTAAAGCTGTCTGTGTGTAAGACACTGGAATATACATGTAAGAATATGCCAGTTTGATTACCTGTATTATTATATATATGTAATAGTATATATATATATATATATGTATAATAGCAATCTGAAAGTCTCTTCTAATTTTTTTTTCCTGTAATGTGGACACATGTTTAGTTTGGGCAAGGGTGGTGGGTAAATTTTTAACTTTATCTGTAAAATGCTGGTAATGTGTTCGTGATTTAAGTTATTGTGAGTATTAAATGTGATAAAAGTCCTTAACTCAGTTGCAAATATTCTATTGATGGTGGTTATTACTATAATGTGTGGTTCTTTAAGATGAGACTGAACTAAAAATTAATTATGTAGCCACCCTCACTACCTACTCTGGGGCAAACAGCTTTGTTCAGTTTTTATAGGCTAAAAATATACCTTCATGCTTCTCAGGTATCTTCATTTTAATAAACTTGCATTTTAGAGAATCACTTAATCATGTGGCAGAATCATCTTTTGAAATTGTTTGTTTCAATTACAGGATTCAATATGAATTAATTTCTTAGTTAAGGTCATGGCAGTTTATAAGTAGAGTGCATTGGCTTTTCAAACAGTGAATGGGCAAAATCTCACTTGGGTCTGTTATGCGCAAGAATGCCTAAAAAAATGACTGACTGGAAACCACACTAATTGTGAATCCCATAAAAAGCTTTTTTCCTCCTTCATATAATCATTTTAGTAGAGCATGGGTAGTGATTAGAACATATTTTAACTAAAAATTTACTTTTGAGTTCTATAAACTTCCTTTGACCTTCAGAATGGATTTAGAGTGGAGGGTTGGATTTTTAATATTAGCTATGTAATAACATTTTTTCCTGCCTGGTGGTTAATATCTACCCTAGGTCTTTTTGTTT